GAGACCTCCTTTACCAGTAACAAGATAAAGTAATAGGTTTTACCCTTTCAACTTGCACAAAAACTGACACCTTTATTCAAGGCATCATGTTTGCAATAACCACAAGACAAGCAGTCAAAATGCAAACAAAAGAGACATCTCTTATAATAATATGCAATGTCCTTGAATTTGATTGGTCCACACCCGAGACGGCTTTTCTTAGAGCCTAGTCTCCACTGGTGTTGGACCAGAAGACGCCAAAAGACGTACAACTCAAAAACAGCACACTATCAGAGTATTGAGGGCTCTGGGTGAGCATTTACATTATGAGACCTCCTTTACCAGTCACAATATATAGTAATGGTAATGGAGGTCTCATAATGTAAATGCTTCCCCGAGCCCTCAATACTCTGATAGTGCGCTGTTTTTGAGTTGTACGCCTTTTGGCGTCTTCTGATCCAACACCAGTGGAGACTAAGCTCTAAGAAAAGCCGTCTCGGGTGTGGACCAATCAAATTCAAGGACATTGCATATTATTATCAGAGTTGTCTCTTTTGTTTGCATTTTGACTGCTTGTGTTGTGGTTATTGCAAACATGATACCTTGAATAAAGGTGTCAGTTTTTGTGCCAGTTAAAAGGGTAAAACGTATTACTAAGGCGAGAATCATTGATATTATCACGATTGCTGATACATACCCCGAAACAACGAAAGAGCCAATAATTAATAAGTATTATTTTACGTATATTTTATTTAATAATTTTTAAATCACAATATTTACAACAGGGAAAACAGGTGATATGATCTAAGACCCCCAGGAAGAGGTTTGTAGATTTACTGAGCATTTCTGTGAGGTCTAGGGGAGTGGAAAACATCATGGGGGGAAATAGGGATGACCCTGCTGAGGCTGTCGTGCCTCATAAATTGAAAGAAGAAGTCATCCCCGGTTAGTGGCTGGCTAAGGTGCTATCTATTGAGGAAGTACAGAAGGCGATCCAAAATCTGAGAACAGGAAAAGCACCAGGCAGAGATGATCTCCCAAGCGAAATGCTGAGGGAGGGTGGTGTTTGTGGGCAAACTGACCTAATTGACCTGGTCAAGGCCTATGATTCCATTATTTGGCCTGGGTTTTGGGTTGTTCTTCATGCGTTTAGAGTCCGTGACTCTCTGCTTACAAAAATTAAGGACCTTCATGATTGTGGGCAGACACAGGTAAAACTACGACCTCAAGAATCGGAGCCTTTCTCTGTTCACCTTGGAGTGCAACATGGATGTCCTCTAGCTCCCACATTATTAAACATATATTTCTACCATGTAGTTCATGAAGCCAATGATGGCCAATACCAGAGGAATTTCCATCTGGTACAGATACAATGGGAGGCTGATCGATGCCCATGTGCGGTCAAGGGATGGTTCCCTATTGGTCAACCATGTTAAGTATGCCGATGAGCTGGTGATTCTGCTCACTCAGAGGAGTTGGAGCACTGCTGCTGAAACTGCAGCGTGCCAGGAAGAGGTGGGGCCTTTCCATCAGCCCCACCAAAACTAAGCACCTGCCTGGGTATTTTGTGCCTTCAGGCACTACACCCCCACAACTCTCAGTTGGTGATGGGGCAGTTGTGGAGAGAGTGGAGAGTATCCCATACCTGGGCAGTGTGCACATGACCAGTTTCGGTTTGAAATCAGATGTCTCACTCTGAATCAGTCGAGCAGCATTATTTTTTCATCGGCTGTGCAATGTTGTGTGGAAGCTACCTGGTCTGCTGCTCCACACGAAGCTTCAGGTCTTCTCGGCCACGGTCATGCCCTCCCTTCTTTACGCTTGCGAAACGTGGAACTCCCTAATGTAACATCTTCCCCATTGAGAAACATTTAGGCTGACCTGCCTACGATCCATCCAGGGTTTAACCAGGCTGGATTGTGTGAGGAGCTCACGAACCCTTTAAAGATCTGGACAAAGTCGCATGCCTAAAACAGCTTTTGTTCGGCTGGATAGAGGGGGCTAAACAGGCTCTGCACGGGTAGAGAAGAGATGGAGTGATGTGGCACAGGAGGATGCAGAGCTGAGCGGACTTGCTGATGGCTGGACTTCTATGGAAGAGGCTTGCGAAGAACGATATTGGGCAGTTTGAGGCAGCCGCTCTCCAGCAACAACGGAGGGCAGAGTAGCGACTCTTACAATAACACGCGGAGCGCCGGGTAGATAAAACACAAGACGTTTGCACAGTAGAGGGCACAGGTGGTGCATGGGCCATTCATCATCTCAGTCAGTCGACCCATGGCACCTGCTGGGTCTGCCCCGTGACTTCCTGCCAGCGGGCGTTCGAAACTTCACGTGGCCTCAACGTGCACTTAGCCTGGCACAAGCGCCATGGTGATGTCACCACCACTACGTGGCGAATGGCGGTTGTTGTTGTGCACGCGAAGCACACGTGTGTGTGTGTGTGAAAGTGTCCTTCCCACGCACCTTCGATTCGCACGGTTGACTACGCATAGTGCGAAAGAAGTTGAAAGTGCATTCACACGTATCACAGCATGGATAGAGGTGGCGGCGGGTGATTATAGAGGCCTTCATCCAGCAGTGGATAGTCCCCGGCTGATGGTGATGATGATGATAGCAGTAGTCGCGTGGGGGAGATATCACACACACACGCGCGTGCTTGCGTGTTTTGGATTCCAAATCGAGAAACGCAATACGCGGAAAGGATCACACCAACTCCTTCTCTCGTGTGTCTGTGTGTGTCTGTCAACGTGAGTGTGTGGGGGAGCGGTAGTGTAGCGGTTAGCGCTAAGCTGCGCTGCGAACCCGGCGACCCGAGTTCGAATCCCACTCACGGCCAACACCGGTGATATCGATTATGTAAATTGGCCCTCAGCCTCGGCTAGATCGACTCAGTCTCAAATTGAGTACCTGGAGAGGGACATAAAATAATCGCCGCTGGGGAGATGAAGGCGGGTGGGCGTGGCAGTGCTAGCCACCCACCCCCTCGTGTGCCACAGTGCCGCCCTTCATAGGCGCTGCTACTTATCGCTCTAACAGCCACTTGACCCCGGCAGTCTGTTACAGGCTACACGGGGGATCTTTGTCTTTCTTGTTTGTGTGCGCGCGTGTTGACTGTGACGTCATAAGTTGGAGGTATGGACAAAGTGGGAAATGGAAGACCACGTGACCAGAGTAATGTTTAAAAGGGGAGATGGGGGAGAGGATTCCAGTGACTTGGTGACCAACGCAGAGCAACGACGCGCAACTGTCCCACAGCCTCCAATTAGCAGGACGCTCAGCTGCTACGTACGCTGGTGCGAAAGAAAATTCAACATACCGTACGTACAAAGACTCACACAGAGATCCATAGACTCACACAGGGACCCGTAGACTCACACAGACCCATTGACTCACACAAATATTCAAAGCCTCACACAGAGACCCGTAGGCTCATATAAAGATGAATAGACTCAGGCATATACCCGCAGACTCACTCAAATGCCATAAAGCCCTCACATTTAGACCCACAAACTCACACAGAGACCTGTAGACTTAACATAGACCCATTGACTCAAACATAGATCCATAGACTCAGACAGAGACCCATACACTCACTCAGCCCATAAACTCCTCACACAGAGACCCATAGACTCACACAGAGAACCGTAAACATACACACAGAAACAAGTAGACTCACACGTAGACCCACAGACTCACACAGAGACGAGTAAACTTACACAGATATCCATAGGCTCCGACAGAGACCCATAGACTCACACAGAAACCTATAAACTCATCAGACAGAGACCCATAGACTCATCACACAGAGAGCCATAGACTAATCACACGGCGACCCATAGACTCGCACACACACCTATAGACTCATCAGACATCGACCCATATACTCATCACACAGAGACCCATAGACAGACAAATAAATCCATAGACTCACACGGAGTCGCGTAGATTCACAAAGAGACCTGTAGACTCACACAGAGACCCACAGACGTACAGAGATCCATAGACTTACACAGAGACCCATAGATCCCACTGAAACCCATAGACTCACGCAGACTCATTAACACACCCATAAACACATAGACCCACACATGAGTCTCCATGCGTCTCTCTCCATCTCCATGTGTCTCTATGTTTGGCTGCTGCTATAAATGTCCACGTGCTGTTCACGACGACGATGATAGGCCACTTTGTCGAACTGCCATTATTTGTGATGGAGAGGTCTCTTCTAATAGCTGAGTTGGGGTTTTACCTGGAAAGATAACAACTAGTTTAGATGTTTTTGGTTATATTATTTTACGCTATTTATTTACCTTTCCTACACTTTGCCCTCCTATCCTGTTTGTGCATCGTGTGGTTTGTTGTTGAAACGTTCTGACCTCGTGCCCTCCTTACCGGAGCATCTGTGACGAGCAAAGAGCTTCATAGCTCATCAGATGTATCCTGCAGTGGCAATACACCATTCTGACTCTGGCTGCTGTCTCCCCGCTTGTCTCTGATTCTTCCTCGTCAGGTTCAATCCCTGGACCCCTGACGATGCCTGCTGCTCCTTATTTGGAGTTTGCGTCAATCTCTCTCTGTCTCTCCCCGTGGAGATGTTAACCACCTCGCCTGGTTACAGGAAGTTGTGGGTTCGATCGAGACCCCGATTATGCCTGCTGCCGTATATTTGGAATTTGTGTTTCTCTCTCTCCCCGTGATGATGTTAACTAACTTCCCTTATTTAAATGAAGTCGTGAGTTCGATCCCGACCCTGATGTCTGCTGTATATTTTGTGTCTCTCTGTGGTCGTGTGGATTTTTCTCCGGGTCTTTCGGTTTTTCTAATTCACAATTAGAATCAACATCACCACGTGTTTAGAGTTATGCTATGAATTTCCACATGATGATGATAGGCCTACATGACTGAACTATCATTTGTGATGGGCAGGGCGCTTGTGAAGAAAAAGCGACTATGTAGCAGCTTATTCGTAAATTACTTGGTAAAATAAAATAATAGTTCGTAGTTTAAATCCCTCCTGTATACCAGGCGAGCTAGTTAACATCTCGCCACTGCTGTCCCCAGATGTCCATCTCGGCCCTGCCGCTGTTGCTGCTGCTGCTGGTGGTGGTGGGAGCCCAGCAGGAGAGGACCATCTGTGCGGGCATCAACGGGATCCCCGGGCAGCACGGGACCCCTGGGGCCCCTGGGAGGGACGGCAGAGACGGTGAGGGGTCGGGTCCCAGAGACCCCCCCACGGTGCGCTCGTGGTGCGACACGATCACTCGCTCGCTCACTCGTTCACTCATTCGCTCACTCGTTCACTCGCTCATTCACTCACTCGTTCACTCACTAATTCAATCACTCAATCGTTCACTCAAACATTCACTCACTCATTCGTTCACTTGCCATGTCATAGGAGAGTGCCTCGTGTGGATTAGAGTGAGATGAGAGGGGAGAGACAGGAGAGTGCGTGGAGGGCAGTAGTGTGAGATGGGAAGGGAGAGGCAGTAGAGTGCGTGGAGGCGAGTGGTGTGAATTGAGAGTGGCTTGAGGAGTGGACGAGCCATGCTTTGTTCTTCTCGCAGGCGCTACCGGAGCACCCGGAGCCAAGGGAGACGTCGGGGCTCGAGGCTTGACTGGGGGCCCAGGTGGGACTGTGACACTGATTCGTGTGCTCCCAGCAGCTGATTCTACTTATGTATTTTATTACCAAGTAATCCTCATTGAGCTATATGTAGTGGCGTAACGTGCGCAGAGTTTGCAAACAGCATTTGAATTCATGTACGGGATTGCAAACAGTGAGGTCACGTCAGGACGAGCAGGTGCAGGCGCGTGGCCTTGGTGACAGCAGACAGAGAGACGCAAGCAATTAGGGAACGAGGCAGCGATTGGCTGGCTGCAAATTCAAACGCAGGGTAGGCGCCACGGAGGCGAGAGATAGTGGAGATAAGGGGGAGAACACTTTCAAGAGACGCCAGAAGGACGCCGGCTTAATGAGGGCCATCTGAGGGCACTTAATGAGGAGGGGGATAAAAGGGGAACGTGTGAAGCAATGGGGTTGAGTTGGTTGGAGATGAAGCAGTGAAGACTATTCAAGAGAAGTCCGGGACCTTGCCCTCCACACCTCGTCCTCCCCAGCGGTGATGGCTGATCCCCATCAGGGGGCACTGGCAAGACACGCATTATTTTGTTCGAGCACACGACCTCCTGTAAACCAAGCGAGGTAGTTAATGTTTAGCCACCGACAGGCTGCATATGCCACGAAGCGATTCATCACTTCTCTTATTCTTTTTACGTGATGTTAAAATACACCAGAAGGGGCCGAGCAACTCAATATAATCGAGGAAGGAAATAACCGAGCTCACTGCTCTATTTATATCACTGCGGTTGCTAGGAGATGTTAACTCCCTCGTCTGGTCCACAGGAGGTCGTGGGTTAGAAACCAATTCTGACAATGCCTGATGTATATTCGGCGTTTACATGTTCTCCCCGTGGTCGCGTGGATTTTTCTAAGGGGCCTCTGGTTTTCCCCTCCACGTTTAAACTTTAGAGTATTTGGCTGCTACAAATTGCCACGTGATGATATCAGCCACTTCATTGTCGACAGGCAGGTCGCTTCTAAAAAACATGGCAACACAGCAGCTCAGTGGACCTTACACCTGGGAATTTAACAAATAGTTTATTTCTAGTTTAGTCTATGGGTCTCTATGTATCTCCATGTTTTAGAAAATAGAGCTCACTGGGTATACCGTGTATAGCTGTAACATCACCCCATGTTCTGGATAATATACCTCATTAGATACACCGTGTATAGCCAGAACATGACCCCCATATTCTGGAAAACAGAACTCACTGAGTACATCGTGTAGAGCGGAAACACATGTTCCATACAGACACGTCGGGCAAGGCTTTCCTGTTACGAAACAAAGACGTTTGTCACAGGACACAACTCAATTGTGCAGATTTGGCTCACCGTCATCAGCATAGATGCAGAATTGCCCCATCTCTCCTTTTGAGAGTGGGGATAAATACACAAAAAAACAAAGATCCCCCATATAGCCTTAACAAACGGTTGTGGCAAGTGCTGTTAGTGAGCACTATGAAGGCCGTCACGCCTTTGTCTCCCAAGTGGTGTTGCTTACACATCACTCCAGGTAATAATTTGAGGCTGAGTCGACCTAGGGTAGGAGGCCCAATATCGTTTCAGATAATCATCACTTGTGTTGACCATGAGCGGGAATCGAACTCGGGTATCTACCGAGTTCATCGCGATAACCGCTACACAACCGTAGGGTGCCACACACACATGCACACGCCATGCATTTTGACCGTGTTGTCCACTTAGGTCTGCAGGGAAAGCTGGGCCCTCTTGGCCAACCGGGGCTCGCGGGGACTCTGGGAGTCCCAGGTGAGCAGGGCGAAAGAGGCGAGAAAGGCGAGCGGGGAGAGAGCGGCGTGGGGCCCAGGTCGGCCTTCTCCGCGAAGGTGGGCGCTTACACGCCGGCGGCCGGCTCCCCCGTGACGTTCAATGTCATCATCACCAACCCGCAGGGCCACTACAACCCCGGCACGGGGAAGTTCACCTGCGCCCACCCAGGCGTCTACTATTTCACGCTGTGCGCACACCCCGGTGAAAAGGACCTCGTGCTTATGATCATGAAAAACGGGGAGGTCATCTCTAAGATATGTGGTGTAAAATACAACGGAATAAGCGGCAGCGTCGTGCTGAGTCTCAAGGCCGGCGACGAGGTGTGGCTGGAGTTGGAGGCTCCGTACATTAGTTTTCTCTTCGACGTGCATAGAGACGCCGTGTTCAGTGGCTATATCCTGTACCCCGAGTGAATCAAAATTGTTTTCATCGGCGTGTCTGGGAAGACAGATCAGGAACACATTCACACGCATGCGCATGCACCCCCCACCCCCCCCCCCCTACATGTTAAACAAAGCTTTTGGGCAAGATCTCAGAAAAATGTTTAGCAAAAATCTGTAAATATGCTCGGCTTGCCCAAAGCTGTGGTAATGACTGCAAATTTTCGGATGTGAGATTTTCTCATCAGAGGAAAAATAGGCCCGGCACTTTTTCTCAACCAGGTTGTCTTGGCGATTAGGCAATGCAGAGAGGCATAGCAGCTTGCTCCAGCTGAAAAAGTCCTGAAACCTCAGCAATTTTCCCATCGGGCATCGGCAGTGAAGGTGGAAGTATTCCAATTCCAGCTGAATGCTATGGGAGTTGCTCATTTCTAACATGGGAGAGAGGAGTTCGGATCCATTTTCTTTACCGTGCAATTCCCACAATATTTTTTTATCGGACACCAATACGGAATTTTAAAAGCGCTTTGACGGCAACAGAAAGGACAATAATTCGATTTGGAATACTGAGAATTTTAACAAGATTTGGAATGTAGTGACTATGCCTTGGTTCGTTATGCACAAGGACGTGAACCAACTGTGGTGGATAATTATTTCTTGACAACCAACTACAACCAACTCTTCAAACTCTCAGCGACAGTAATAGCACGTGAGTACATAACCCTGCAGATCACCGACTTAACACAGCCACCCCACGTGTTGACAATGACAGAACACCGCGGCGACTATAAACAGATTGAGACCACCGCGAGGACTGTTCGCACAAACCCTGACGCACGCCTCCAACCCTGGGTGACGAGGCAACGCACCAGAAGCCCAGGATATGCAAATTCAACCTCGAGGTCGACTACAGCGTCAGGGAGCCCCCCCCCTCCCCCCCCCCAGGATTCAACGAAATAGCCGCACTCCCAAAATTCAATGCAGAATCAACCTCGGTCTTGCATTGCACTCACAGCAGCGCTCTTAAGGGATCTATGCAGCGGCAGTCTCGGGGTTTGTTTTTGCGCTTCCAGCAGCGCTCTGAGTGACCCCATGCAGCGACAGTCTAGGGGCCTGGCTGGAAATTCCAACAGTGGTCAAACAACTCAACGCAACCACAGTCTCGGTGACTGAGCCACCTGCCCTGCAGTAACAGCTGGTCTTCTCCAGGAGTCCCTTTGTCGTGGTGAGCAGTCATTAGGCGGTCATAGATACGCGTTTTTGTCGTTAATGTGGGGGGTATTACGATAAGAAAGGTGATAAAAGCGGGGGGTCGCAAGTGGAGCCGTCGCAGGTCGGGGGTCACCTATACACACATTTGGATCACTCACACAGAGACCCAAAGACGCACACAGAGATACTTAGACTCACACAGAGACCCATAGACTCACACAGAGGCACGTAGACTCACGCAGAGACCTGTAGACTCACAAAAAAAACCTTTGACTCACACAGAGACCCATGGACTCACACAGAGACCCATAGACTCAAACAAAGACCTGTAGACTCACACAGAGAACCATAGACTCACATAGAGACCCAAAAAATCACACAGAGATCTAGACTCACACAGAGACCCATAGACTCACACAAAGACTTGTAGACTCACACAGAGGACCATAGACTCACATAGAGACCCATAAAATCACACTGAAACCCATAGACTCACATAAAGACCCATAGACTCACACAAAGACCTGTAGACTCACACAGAGAACCATAGACTCACATAGAGACCCATAAAATCACGCAGAGACCCATAGACTCTCATATAGACCCATAAAATCACACAGAGACCCATAGACTCACACGAAGACCTGTAGATACGCAGAGATCCTTAGACTCACACAGAGGCCCGTAGACTCACACAGAAACACGTAGACTCACACAGATAACTGTAGACTTACACAGAAACCCATAGACTCCCACAGAGACCCATAGTTTGTGGTCCTTCGCCTCTCTCCTCTGATTAGCACGGTTGGTTATGTATGGTGCGAAAGAAGTTCAACGTGCATACATACACATGCACACACAGGGCACACTTGTTGGGAATTATTTGTGACTTAGCCCCGAAGTTAGAAATGGGATTGTAGTCCATAGTTTTCACTGCACCATCTATCAAGTAGGTTCACGTGACTCCTACTGCAATAGAACACCTTGAAAGTGATTCAATTTTTTGGAACTGGTAAATGTTCTGATTAAGCCTGCCTACATATTATTTGCTCAAAGTTACACGTGTGGTGAGTCCTCGCTTAACGCGCCCTTCCGCTACATAACGCGCTTCTTCCATTTCAAAACACTTTTCAATCAATGCGGAATGCAGACCATTATATTATACCACAGAACAATCGCCGTTACAATGTGTAACACGCTGACTGTTATGACGTGGAATGCACGCAACCATTATAACGTGGAATGCGCACACCATTATAATGCAAAATGCAAACCGTTATAATTCAGAACGCACGCACCGTAATGAGGAATACGCACGCCGTTATGATGCTGAAGGCATGCAACGTTACAACGCGTAACGTGCACGACGTTATAACACAGAACGCTTACCATTATAACACAGAACGCTTACCATTATAACACGGAACGTGTGTGCCATTATAACATGGAACATGTGTGCCGTTATAACTCAGAACGTGTGTGCCGTTATAACTCTAAACGTGCGCCACCGTTGCTGTAACGCGGTTTCTGAGAGGTCGACGGGCGAAGTACTTTCTCAAGACTGCATGGCTGAGCGGTTATGGTGAAGCGGTAACGCGGAGTGATACGGTGACACGGCGACGTTACGCCCGTCGGTTGACGCGGAACTACTTTTTAAGAGCGCACCTCCCACGTTGATTCCCTAGGGCCCCAGCGTGTGACGTTGATTCGGACTTCTTGTCGCGTGCTTCTGTGTGCTGTTGAAAGGAAGGAGGCTTTTTTTCTTAATTTCCACGGGGTTTTTCGTCTGCCATAAATAAAGGATCTGTAATCGTGTGGATATTTATTCGTGTCAATTTGTACGTTTATTTATGCCAACTTCAAACAAGTAAACACATGTAAAACACAAAAAAGCATAGACACAACTTCTAAAAACATAAGGTTATGCAAAAATGTAAAAAAATAGCTATTTCATCTAATTATTATTTAGTGATTATGTGACGTTTTGGAAAATCCGGCGCCCAGGCTACTGTGGGCTCGCCCCCACCGAAGATGAACATCAGTGAAGGGATGAAGGTAAGGCCAATGAGTCAGATGACTTCTATGACCTCCTGTCACAGGTGCTAGCTAAAGTGGCCCCTCGGGATAGAGTCATCTTGTTGGGTGGCTTTGAGGCCTGAGTTGGTCATGATGCTGGCACCTGGTCTGGAGTGACTGGAAGGCATCAGACAGATCAGCTCAAAAACAACGGTTGGAGGTTGCTATGCTTTTGTGCAGCCATGGGCTTGTAATTACTAACACGCTGTTCCGGCATCCGTGCATCCACACAACATCATGAAAGCATGCTGGGTCCAAGGAAGAACATCTGATGGACTACATAGTGATGGAAAAGCGGATGCGGGCCCAGGTCCTTGACACCAGGACCTACGGTAGAGCTGATGTGCCCACTGACCATCCACTTATCTCTAAGATGCGCTTGCCATTCTTCCACTCCGGTAGTGGGTGTACATCCAGGACCCCATTTGAACACACAGCGGCCTGGTCTTAGCTACCTAATGAAAGTTGCAAGCGTGCATTTCATGATCACTTGCAGCTGGGATTTGCATCTTCACCCACTCCTGATGCCGAGGGGAAATGGACGAGGTAATGGACTGTGGCTCATGCAGCTTCAATGGCTGCTTTGGGTGCACTGTCCAAATCTCCCCAGAGACCCTGGCGGACAGAGGAGGTGTTCTGGCTTGCTGAGAAAAAACGACATGTCCACTTTCACGGTCTACAGCATCCCATGTCAGAGAATGAGGAGGATAACCGCAGCTGTCGCTCAGAGGTTTGGAGAGCCATACGGAGCTGCAAAGATGGGTGTTGGTCACGGGTTGCTGAGGAGATGGAGTCTGCCTCAGCAGCAACTGATCACAAATCACTGTTCAACTCCATCAAAAAGTTACTTCTAGTGCCACACCTATCACCATCATTAGGGGTGTTGTATATATGCCATTTTCTAAAAAATATATTCCAAGTAATATCGCCTATATTTTATGTAATAGTTATCTTGTTACATATCTCAGGATTTAGCGCGTTCTAAAAAAACACAATAACAGAGGCCTGTAAACTTCTCCCTTGAAACAACAAAGGCAACAGGACCACCACCTGCTGCTTCAGCAGCGTCCCGAACACAACGGAGACGGGCACCATAGAGGTTACTTACTCACAAGCCTTGGCTTGAAAGTTGTAATGTTTGAATTGACCACCACCGCGTAGGAATATTTTCCAACATTATGGTATTAAACGTTAGCTTGATGATAGAATGTGCTGTTATATGACGATGCAGCTCAGGAGCAAAAGGTTTTAATAGTGACTATTTGGCATATTTTTTGTAGTGACATCGCAAATGTCACTGTGTAATGCCGGCCCTCGAGTGGCACGGCGTGCTGGGTATTGTCATCGCGGACACCACTTGGATATGAGTGCAGTACCGGCCCTAGTGGGGCCCGGTGAGCGCTGACTGACAGCGCTGGATGGCGCCACGCTCGGCGTGCATTGCCGGCCCCTACAGGGTAGGGTTCGAGAGTGCCAGCCACTGGAATGGGGTTACTAAGGGCCGTGGCACTCTGGTTGACTCCGGAGGACACGTGACCAGTTGAGTCTACACAGGGGCCCCAATTGGGGGCTAGGGGTGGTCGTGGTCACGTGTCAGGGTCGACATCCTGCTCGAGGATTCTAGAATGTGGGCGTGACTAAGGGCGGAGCCAGCCACGTCGCAGAGGATATAAGCCGGGTCCCCGAGAGGGACTGGCTGCTGATGTTCATCCTGAAGATTCTACGTTCTATGTCCTACAAGAGTCTCCAACACGTGGACTGGGACCCAAACTGTGGTCCGGTCCGTTGTAGCTA